TTTGTAGACTGTACTGAGAGCTTACTGTAGTCAGAGATTTCCCTGTTTTGTTCTCAGTTGTGCTCTAGCTCCTAGGACAGCGTTGGGCACTGCTGTGCCTACCAGTGGGTCATCCTGGGCGAGTCACTGAGCGATCACCTTCCTTGAGACTCCACATGGAGCAGATGCTCAGTAAATCCTGTCCGGACGAGTGAATGTAGAGCCCTACAGCAGCACATGCTGGGGAATGCAAGGCAGGGGAAGACCCCTGCGTCAGGGCTGTGAAAGCCCAGCCTATTCCGGAAGGCTCACCGAGAGCCCCCAGACCCATCTCTAGTCCTGACAGCCCTGCCATGGCGTCTGTGCTGCCCTCCCCATCCTGTTCTCTTACAGTACAGGAGACGAACACAGCCAGGGGAACTGGGGTCACTTGGACCAGGTGGCCGCACTGCGCTGGGTGCAGGACAACATTGCCAACTTTGGAGGGAACCCAGGCTCTGTGACCATCTTTGGAGAGTCGGCGGGAGGTGAAAGTGTCTCTGTTCTTGTAAGTGTTCCTGGCACCAGGCCCCACCCCCAGGCTGATGTGGCAGCTGATGGGACCTCTTGGAGACCAGCCCACCCAGCCACGGGCACCTTTGCTTACAAGGCCTGGACTGGGGAAAGACGCCACTCATTGCCTAGCATCAGGCAGTGGAGAGCTAATGTTCAAAGTCTCCTTGGCCCCCACAGAGCTCAGAGCTCAGCCTTATGTCTTGGGGCCATAAGAATCTCTGGCCCCAGCCTGCACTGGTGACAGTCCTCCTCTGCCAACTTGGCTGAGCTCTTAATCTCTCCTTCCTTCTCATTCTAACAGCAGGACTCAGCACATTTTTTGGGAGGTGGGGCTGGGTATAAATTATGAACATGTGGAGGCAAGGACAAGAGCTGGACAGAGGTCATTGTTTGGTTTGAAGCCAAATCTACGTGTCGAGGGGACACGAGCACTAAGATCAGGCCGGAGCCTCCGCTGAGGTGGTCTGATGGCCCCCCACGCCCAACAGGAGGGCAGCCATGTCTGGGTCTGAGGGACCAGGTGGGCTGGGGGAGGTGGGAAGGAAGGAGGGATGGAACACAGGATGGGGAGGGATGGGAAGGGGGATGTGGGACACAGACACAGCCTGGGGGCTGGAGATGTCCTGCCAGTGTGGGGAATGGGGCTGGGCCAGATGCTGAGGGCGCTGGGATGGGAAACCAGGTTGGAAGGTGCTGGGAGCTGTGAGGAGCCCTCCAGGTGCCTCGGAGTTGAGCAGAGGGTCAGCCCATTGCTGTGTTTGTCAATCGTGTGTCGGTTTCCTACTTGAAGACTCAGAGGAAAATGCTTCCATATTCTTTAAAGTAGAGAGAAGGAAAATACAGATCAGCCCAAAGCAGAAAAAACTATCCACTCCCCCCACAGGTAGTCACTGTGGACATTTCACATATATTTTTCTAGTGTTTTTTCCTGACACTGTGTATCTATCTACCTATCATCTATCTTTTTTTTTTACAAAAAGACATTTCTTAATTAACATCATGCATGTTAGTTACCATAAATGTTAGTATAACATACGATAATATTACACTGTAACAAAAATATTTCCCTAAACATTAAACACTCTCCTGTGATGTTATCTTTTACAATTGCATAGTATTCTGTGGTAACAATGAAAAATCACTGATTTACCCAATCTCGCAGTATGAGATCCTGGGGTTATTTCCAATTCTGTAACCAGCACGGGCATCTCAGAAGTCTTTGTGTGCCTCCCTGGTCATTTTCTTCTGAGTAACAGACATGCTTAACG